CACAGGCCAGGGCGGGTGGAACTGGAATTGTCACACATATACGTAAAAGCTAACAAAATTTCTACTTCTACCACCATCCACTACTTTCGATTCTATTCTTATCTCTAAGGAACATAAATTACTTATATAATGAGAAGGAAGAGCAACCTTAAATGAGCATTCTATAGTTCTTTAAGACTCCAGGAAGACAAAGTCAACTAGTCACAGAAATGGCAACCTCAAATGGCTCAATTTAAAGAAGAAATAACACTTAAGGTACTCAAAACAAAACTCCTGTTGGCCTAATAAACAACATTACCAAAACAAGAATGTGTTAACTTCTTCAAATGTGCATTAAGAACCATAGGACAAGCAGTATGTTGACCTTGGGGGTTCCAAAATGAGTAAGACAGTCCCTGACCTCCTAGAAACATAGAGGCTAGTAAGAAGACAGACAAGAAAATAACATGACAGTTCCACGTAGAAAAATCTATTAAATGAGCATACAGTGTTAGTAGAGTCTAGGAAGGGTCCTTCAATCAGGCTCAGCTCTCAGCTTCTCAGAAAACTTCACACCATCCTCCTGGGAGTAAAGCCAACTCTTCCACTGAGTTAACACTGCTTTGGGAATCAAGGAGTACAAAACACTACTTATGCAGTATTGTTTATTCTCATGGTTAATGACCCTCTCTTTCAGCAACCGATTACTGGATCTCATACATGGCATATAGAAATAGCTCACTGGAAACACCAACCTATTTATCAATATTACACATGGTCTAAATGCAATGTAGTAATCCTGGATTGGATCCTGGAACAGAGAAAGGATATTAGTGGAAAATCAAAAAATTCTGTAACTCAGTTAATAGCACTGTACCAGTGTTAATTTCCTAGATGTGAAAAATGTACCAGGGTTATATGAGACGTTAACACTGGGGGAAGCTGGATGAAAGGTGTAAAGGAACTCTCTGGACCATCTCTGCAACTTTTCTGTAAATCTGAAATTACTCCAAAATAAAATTTGCTTTAAAAAAATTACACGTGGCTCCCCACTTTACATTCTCACTACCCTTTAGGATTATGATGATGCCTTCCTCGTCACTGCCCCAATCCAGGTTAATGCTTGATTGAAATGTTTTTTCAAGTCCTTTCAGATTCCTTACTATAAACCATTTATGCAGCCTGGCTGGATTTCTTTCTTTACCAAAACATGAAAAACTGTATCTCCTTTGGAAGGTTTTAATTGCTTCTCTTCCTAATAGCTTCACCACATACACCAGGGGGTATCCTTGAAATTGAACTTTCCTCAGTGGACAAGAGAGGGTTTAAATAACTTGAGCTGGTTCTGTGGAAAAAAACAAGGGGACACTAACAAAAATGCATGTTATATGTTATTAGATTACTTTTACCTGACCTCTAGCCAGATGAATAGACTATACAATGAATAGATGCTGACTATTAGCATCTCAACACCAACAAGGAAACTGCACTGAAATGAATGCATCAGCTACAAACTCTGAAAAACGTGGTGTAAATCCCTCAACTATTCAAGATAACAAAAATCCGTATTAAAATCATATGGTACTGTTCAATTCAGGCCAAATGACAAAACATGTCTACCATGACTATCTGGTTTCTAATAAGGAAATGAATACTCGCCTCCTTCTATTAAACCTCCATTTCAGAACAGGCTTCAAGAGTCCCGCCAGGAAAACATCAAGGTGACATAACATCATTATCAAGGCCTTAGGCACACACACGAACTACAGCAAGATAAACAGCCTGGAAAGTTTGAAAACAACTACATAAAAGAGTATCGGTGAAGGCTAAACATTTATGAACCCCTCAAAGAAAAAGAAACCAAAGAAAGATAACTGAAATTTAAACCTAACCTATTTAATGGCTAATATCATTTAAAAGATAAAATATGATATACTAGAATCTATTAAGGTCATACAATCTGATCTGTTATAGTATTAAATAAATATTATACAACAGTACTCTCATCTGGACCACTTCCAGAAAGAACAGGTAGAGTAAATCCTTTAAAATATTTTAATTTGCACAGCTCTGTCAGTCACCTACCATAATTTATCTGTTCACAAATATTTCTCCAATACAGGCCTGAGCTCTTAAAGAGAAACCAGCACATTGCTTAGGGCAGAATGGGCCCTTAATAAATGCCTTTTGAAGAAGTAAATACTCAGCAGTAATGTACCTCTGAAGCATCCTTACGAACCAATTCACTATGAATACCTTGGGCCCTAACTGGTATAGTTCAGTGGGTTGGACATTGTCCTACAAACTGAAAGGTCACCGGTGGTTTGATTCCCAGCAGGGCACATGCTTGGGTTGCGGGCCACGTCCCCAGCTGGGGGTGTGCGAGAGGCAACTGATCGATGCTTTTCTCACACATTGGTGTTTTTCTCCCTCTGCTTCTCCCCCCCTTCCCCTCTCTCTAAAAATAAATAAACAAAATCTTTTTAAAAATATCAATACTTTTGGGAGCAGAGCATACTGTATGCCATGCTACCACATTTACGAGGCAGTCAAGTTAACTGAAAAAAAAATTAACAGCAACTACTATGTGCTGAGGAAAAAAAAGAACCCTCAGGTCACATGAGATAAAAATACATGTAAAAACTGTAACTTAAAAATAAAGACAATATCTGAATTAATTTTTTCCCCTTGATGGCCATAAAAATGAATCCACCTTTAACTTTCTAACACTGAATTACAAGATATTCTTTACAGAATCTTTCACCATCCACAATTTTATAAAGTAATTTGCTATCAACTTAAATGAGTCAGTTACACCAATTAGTAAGTGGGATGAAGTCTAAGTCCAATTATGAGTTTAAACTGTGGGATGAATGCCTTGAGCAATTTTTTCTGTTCAAGGCTGCAGAAAAAACACAACAGCCCTCTTGACTGCTGAGAAGAGTTACATTTATTTCATTTATTTCTCACAAGTACACAATCAATGGTAATTGCTTTCTGCTCCCACCCAACACAAAGCAATACCACCTCCTCCTCCCATTACCATCGAAACATGCTACGGAGTATCTGAGTACTTGAACCTTAGACCAAAGAATCTCAGACAGCAATAAAGGCACAATGTAACAAAAACATATTTGTCTCAGTATGTCTCATCCCCCTTGGTGTTCCTATACTAATTTAGCTCCCTATCAAGTATTAACAATCAAGAAAATCAGAAAATTCTCAGAATAGATACTACACACTGCTTGGTTTGTTTTTTAAAAATCTGTTACCATTCATGGATCTCAAAATTCAGAGTACACATTACCAGGTAAGTGTTTTTTAGTTTTCCAATGCTCAAATTTAAATGCCTATTACTATTTAATTATATGCAATTTTCCCTCTAAACCTATATACACTAATCATTCTCCAAATGTTTTTAAAAAACAAACAACTGGTCATGTTCACTTAAAAAACTTATTGCCTAATAACCCAGAAATTCTAATGTATCAAAAAAGTGATCACTATCAGCTCTACATGTGCAGGACAGTTTGGCTGACAAGCTGTTCTGCAAAGATTAGGAATTTCCAGTGACTGCCAGAAGCATATACAGTATCTGTAGATACTTCAATAATAAAACTACTTCAATATAAAAACTTCACAGCCTACGAAGTCATATATGTGAACTGTAAAGCTATCTCAACGCTATGTATGTCCAAAAAAGAAAAAAGCAGAAGGAAAACTATCTATACTCAAATCAGCATGAGTAATCATCCTTAAACTAAGTTTTTCAAGAACTGAAAACTTTGTAAGGTTCTTTAGGTTATCAACACATTCGTGTTTCAAAATAGAGCAATTATATTAAAACACAATCGACATAGAATTCCAACACCACCACATACTCGTATGTTGGAAGACACAATGACGGTAATAGAAAACACTTTAATAGGGTTCAGTTGTGGTGGGTGCACTATTCTAGGGACTTCATATTTTAACTCATTTAGTCCTGACGTCTCCATTTTACAGATGAAGAAACTGAGGCAGCTAGATTAACTCACCCAACGTCATTTAGCTAGTAAGAAGGAGAGCATGGATTTTAGCCCCATCAGTCAGCCCCTAAAGATCATGTTAATCAATATATTATGTTTAATAGTAAGGGTCATGCAATGGTTACTTTTTTTTTTTTTTCCACCTAAAAACCTTTTTGGATCTCAAACACTGAGATAACTTTGTGCAATAAGAAAAGTACAGGCTTTGGATTCAAACAAATCCCTGAATAACGTCTGAGCCTCCGTTTCACCATATGTAAAATGAGGATATTTACGTTATTGTAACGGTCAAACAATACAACCATAAAGTGTCAAGTACAGTATACAAGAGAGGAGTAAGTTCAGACACCTAGAGTGTCCACGGATGGACTTGGGAGCCCAAGAGTCTCCTAAGTTGTATGACAAATACTGTATGCATACCCATTTTAAAAGAATCGTCCTCGGGTTTCCATAAACTTTCAAAGGGTACGTGATCTCTAAAAGGTTAAGAACCACTGGAGTACATAGCAGTTACTCAAAAAATGGAAGTTATCTTTCCCTTCTTGTTCTTTAAAATTCTCCATTTTCCATTAAGGATGATACATCAAGGCTTCACAATAAATGTAAATTATTTCACACCATTTTCCTGGCTTGGTAACTAATAACATATGCAAGATTATGCCCCAATTTCCTAGAGAGTGTCTAAAGAAGACCCTCAAAAGCTGCTTCATTCCCCTCTTCACCAAGAGGAACACACAGTATTTACTAGGGAAGAATCCTGAGAATCGTTCATCTAGCTGCACGAAGTACCACAGGGGCTAGAACCAAGCAGGAAACAGAGCCTCCGAGTCGCACTAAAGAGACCTGACGCCCAGCGCTGCGGGATGAGAATAATGTGTTTCCCAAAACTACTGGACAACCCAGAATTCCGCCCCTGTCCTCCCTCTCTCTAGAACTCTGGGGCAAGGTCTTCCTGGCTCTGCCCCGTACGGGAGTGAAGGAGAGAAACGTTACCAGAGCTGGAGGGTGCAGCGCGGTGACGTCCGAGCTCTGCTGCCCTGACAGGCGGCAGCAACCCACGGCAGACGACCGGCCCTACACCCTCTCGACAAGTGATCCAAGTACAGATCTCCGCCTGGGCTGGGAACCGGCTCCGGGCTTTTCCGTTTCCCCAAACGACTTCCGCTTCCGGGCTATCCTATGAGGGAAGTAGTATGGATGACGCAAAAGTGTCGCGCGGTGGTAATTCCGGAAGAAACAAGAGTGCGGCGTGATCATGGTGAGAGAGGAGGGTTGGAGAAGCGACTTTGTCGAGTCTATGTTTTAGCCGAAGATTTAGAGAGGCAGCCCGTGGCCAAATTTCCTCTACATTCCGTTGCTTATTTTCATTCTAATCTTAACTCTTGAACTGCTCCAGTTGGGGCCTGTTATGCTCTAGCGAGTAGGCTCAGGGCCGGGTTAGGGAAGAAGGGATCCGGAACTGGGTTTTTGAAGGAAGAAGGGAAAGGAGTAGACAGAAGAAAAGGAGAAACTCAAGAACTTGAGATGTGTTTCCGGCTCTTTTAACCCTAAAATTTCTGTTTCAAGGGCAAGCAAAAGAAAACAAGGAAATACGCGACCATGAAGCGAATGCTTAGTCTGAGAGATCAGAGGCTGTGAGTGTCTGGAACCAACTGGGCTCATAGACTGCCCAGATATACAGGAGTCACGAGGGGATAAGTAGTAAAACTTTTATTGTGATTTTGCATTCATTTTTAATATTGTGTCTTCGATTCATATAGCATGAGATAGTCAAGTGTATAGCAGTCGTATAGCTGCTAAGTGACTATACTGGTGAATGGGTTGGGAATTAAACATTTAGGTGTTCACTTTGTTCCACCTTTTTTTATAACTTATCTACCGTATCTTATTTAAGCCTCCTAACAGTTCTGTGAAGTGAGTAGGATTATCTTTATGTTATCATTAGAGTACTACATTCTTCAGAAAAAAATGTTATAATTGTTGAAAGAACGTGAGATGATATACCATATTTGCCTTGTGTCTCCAGTGCCTGACATTCAAATATTTTTTAAAGAAAGAATGGGAAGCATCTAGATGTTTCCATTTTTTAAAACTCATAAGAATTCAGATGGCTGTTGAAGAAGAAAGTAGGATGATATTTCCTATTATAAAGAATTAACAAGCTCCCCTACTTTGGTGAAAAATGGACAGAATTATTAAATGAGGACTGGTCTTCATTGTGGTTAAGAGCCTTAGTACAATGGAATGGTCATCAGAACCTTTCCAGTTACTGAATTGTATTTTCAGCCATTAGTATGTGTTTATTATGTAATTTTTAGGAAATTTGCCCATTAAAAATATTTCTAGCTTTAGGTTAAATATTGTGTATGTGTTATTACATTTTAACCCTTATAAAAGGCAATGGTGGTTCCATCCCCCTCCCTACTGTTGAAGCATCTGAGTCCTCAAAAGATAGATGTCAGTCTTTTTACTCACTGCTTGGAAGTGGATTTTGATCCTTGATGAGAGCTTCTGACTAAGAAAGAAATGATAGTATAACTAACATTTATTTACCAGTTGATAATTTTTTAGTTATTAGCTAGAGATTTTTCAATTTAATTATGTCTCATGAATTAAATATGTTAATTTCAGGCTACTTCCCACACAATTATTTGTGCTCAAAAATATGTGTATTGATGGTAATGTAAAAAAGTATGCTTATATTAATGTAAAGAAATTACAAAGTAAGATTTCCTCTGAAGACAAAAAAAAGAAACTTTTAATTTCAAATGAGATTATAACTGCTATTGTTTTTTCTTATCTCCTGCATTTAACTTACTTTTTTTTCCTAGTAAAGAAAAGGATAGATTAAAACCTAAAAAGAAGGAAAAGAAAGATCCTAGTGCACTCAAGGAAAGAGAAGTGTGAGTAATTGACATTTTCAAGTTTCCCTTTAAAACATCCTAAAACTGTAAACCTCTTAGAAACCCAAGCTCTCCTGAATTGATTTGTTCGGTCACTTGTGAGTCCAGCACAAGAATACAAACAAAAATGATATTAATGAGCCATACCTAGTCACATGGTCCAAAGGCTTTTTAATTTCATGGAGCAGTCAAATTTTCCCTAAAGTGAGTTTATTTGAGCCAAACTAATTACATATGCCAGGGAGCAAGATCTCAAATGCTCTTAATTGCCATTGTTTAACACACAGGCATTTCATAAAAGAGAAAAGTATCATAAAAAAAAATAGGCTGTATTTTCAGAATAAGGGTTATTCCTTTTAATAAAAAGCACATTTAACTTTATGAAACCTCTTCACATTTTTTTAATTTTTCTCATTTTGCCCTAGAGTGACGATAGATAAATTGGCAGGATTTATTTCCAAGAACAAGGGAAAAAGGAGCTTAATCTATGGCAAACTGTTCCAAGTAGAAACTGGTTTTTGTTGATACCAAAGTATCAATGTACATATTACTTTGTGTTTTCTTTCTTTATCTTTCAGCCCCCAATATTCTTCCTGCTTATTCTTCCAATATAACACACAACTGGGCCCACCTTACCACATCCTGGTTGATACCAACTTTATCAACTTTTCCATTAAAGCTAAACTGGACTTAGTGCAGTCAATGATGGACTGTCTCTATGCCAAGTGTGAGTATCATACTTCTGCGTTTCTGTGATATACAGAATAATCATATTTATCCAAATACATGCAAAGAGGGGAGTGAGGTTCTTGTTAATTGTTGGGCATTTAATGTGCTTACCATAGCAATGAACACTTAATGACTTGAAATACGATGCAAACTTGACTGGGAATAATTAAACTCTCACAATTCAAAAAACAGTGTGTTTGGGTCATTATTATTGGCATCAATTTTGAACATACGAGGGAAGTTTTCTTCAGAATAAGTGAAAATTTATTCTGTTTCTCAGTGTATATATTCTTTTACATTGTGGAGAAAAGCATTCTTCATTCCACTATAGTGTAGAAAAGCTAAATTAGAAATTTTGTCATTTATAATCGCAGAACCAGAAGTGATGATGGTCACTGATTCCTAGTTTATTTAATTTGGTATTTGTACCACAAAGGATCTGGGTAGTTTATTTACACCTAGTTATGCAGCTTAACATTAATATCCCTTGTGTTTTTGGATGTCCCTTCCTTCCAATGATCTTCCCTCACTATCATGAGTAGGAAAAAGAAAATTTAGGCCGTGTATAGGGAATAGCTTCCTAATAGTGAGATCTATTGCATTTTGTGATGGGTTTATATTCATAATATTGGGTTGGCCAAAAAGTTCATTTGCTTTTTGCTGTATGATGGCTCTAGTAGTGCTTAGTTGTCTTTAACTTCATGAAACAATTTTCTTGGATTGTATTGTGACAGCTGTCATATCAGCATACATTTTTAAAAAACTTAGCAAAATTGGTGAATTTTTGTGTGGCCATGTTAATATTGAAGATGGAAGAAAATATGCAACATTTTTGGCATATTATGCTTTATTACTTCAAGAAAAATAAAAATGCAACTGAATCCCAACAAAAGATTTGTGCAGTGTATGGAGAAGGTGCTGTGACTGATTGAACTTGTCAAAAGTGACTTGTGAAGTTTCATGCTGGAGATTTCTTGATGGATGATGCTCCATGGTTCGGTAAACTAGTTGAAGTTAATAGTGATCAAATCAAGGCATTAATTGAGAATAATCAATGTTCTGCCCCGAGGAGGTAGCCAACATTCTCAAAATATCCAAGTCAATAATTCGATTCCCAGTCAGGGCACATGCCTTGGTTGCTGGCCAGGTCACTGGTTGGGGGCATGTGAGAGGCAACTAGTTGATTTATCTCTCACACATCAATGTTTCTGAACCTTCCTTCCTCTCTAAATAAATAAATAAATAAAATAGTTTTTAAAAATTCATACAGAATCTCTCTGGGGTGGAAGTTAGTTTTGTTTCTTTTATTCATAAAAATGGATCACACATTACTATTTATGTTTGTACTTTTTTAAAACTGCTTTGAGATATAATTCACATAGCATTCAATACATGCCTTTAAAGTATACAGTTCAGCCCTGGGGGGTGTGGCTCAGTGGACTGAGTGCCAGCGAGAGAACCAGAGGGTCGCCAGTTTGATTCCTAGTCAGGGCACAGGCCTGGATTGTGAGCCAGGTCTCCAGTAAGGTGTTCAAGAGGCAACCAGGCATTGATGTTTTTCTTTCCCTTTCCCCCTCTCTAAAAATAAATAAGTAAAATCTTTTTAAAAATACAGTGTAAAATTAAATGACTTTTAGTGTATTTATAGTTGATTTTTAAAACATTCTCATTAATACAAAAAAAAATGTCTGAACCCCTTAGCCATCATCCTTCAACTCTTCCCTCTCCTGCCATCCCTAGCAACTATGAATTTGTTTTCTATCTGTATAGATTTGCCTATTCTGGACATTTCATTAATAAGGGGTCATAAAATATTTGGTCCTCTTTCATTTAGCATAACACTTTCGAGAGTCATCTATGTTAAAGCGTATATCAATACGTCAATTATTTTTATTACCAAATAATATTCTGTTGTGTGGATAGATCACATTTATTCATTTCTGCTTGCTAATTATATTGAAAAACTATGTCATGACTGTTTTCCTGTGTCAGTATCTATAGATGTACCTCATTTTTAAGTTACATAGTATTCTATTGTTTATCATTTTAAAAAAAACAATATTTTGCTAGACATTTGGAGGCCCTGTGATAAACAAGGCTATAGTGAATTTGTGAATATGTCTGTGTTAAAGTGAAATATTTCTTTAAGATATATTTTCTAGAGCTATACTATAATATCAAAGGGTATATATAGTTAAATTTTAATAGGTATTGTAAAATTGCTCTCAAGTAGTTACATGAATTTATACACCTACTAACTTTGTGTGAAAATACCTGTTTCCTTATTATTGAGTATTTTCATATGTTTAATCTTTGCCACTCTAACAAATAGAAAATGAAATCTTGTTTCAGTTAATATCTTCTTATAATAAGATTGAGCATCTTTATGCTCATTGATCATTTGTATGTCTTCTGTGAACTGAAATTGAACATGGTAGTTAAGAACCCAGTCTGTATTCTGACAGTCTCAGTTCAAATATCATCTTTACCATTTGCTATCTGGGTATTTCTTTGTGCCTCAGGTTCCTCATCTATAAAATAATAGTAATAATAATAATAATAAATATCTGATAGGAATTGTTCTGAAGATTAAATGAGATAATCCTTGCAAAGTCTGGACAATAGCACATAATCGTAGGCTATTATAAGCTCGTTGTATATTAAGGAAATTAGCCCTTTGAGAAATGTGTAGAAATATATTTCTCAGTTTTATTTTTATTTTACTTTAATGTGTCTTTTAGTTTGATGTTGTCAAAGAGAAGTTTTATACTTTTTATATGATCACATTTACATTTTTTGGTTAATTTTAGGTTTCTTTTGATTCACATTTAAGTTTTTTTCATCTGGAATTGATATTAATATCAAAAAATGACAGGGATCCTGCTTGTTTTCTCCAGATGTGTTTATGACAGATACTTTATGGAATCTGTGGTGTGGGGTTGGAACAGTTTATTAGTTTCTTTATAAATAGGGATTTTATCCTCCTCTAGTTCTTATTGCTCATTTCAGTGTGTTTATTCTGCTTTATCCGGAAGTATCATGGGTCTTCTTAAGATTCTCATCCGGATATAATTCAGAGAAAGTAAAATCAGTTTCTTCAGAAGTTCTTTTACTAACATGTATTTTTTTTTTCCTGGCAGGTATCCCTTGTATAACTGACTGTGTAATGGCTGAAATTGAAAAACTGGGGCAGAAGTATCGAGTGGCTCTAAGGTAGGAAGGAGCTGGTCAGTCTAGATTTGGTCTAGATTGGTATACTGAAGGTTCTTTTGACCTTCCTTATTCTGTTTGCTGTCCAAAGATTTCTTGGCCATTTAAAGTAAATATAAAACATAAAACTAGAGTAAAAATATATATTTAGAGTAAAAATATAAAACTAGAGAACTATGGTCAAGAACATAGACATTTGAAGTTAGAGATTTTTAAGCTAAAGCCTTTTTTCAAATTAAATTTATTGGTTAATAACATCATATGTTTCAAGTGTACAACTTTATAATACAAGACCTGTATGTTTCATTGTGTGCTCATCACCCAAAATCTAGCCTCCTTCTGTCACCATACATCTGACCCCCTTTACCCTCTTCATACCCCTCCACCCCCTTGTCCTCTGGTAACCACCATGCTGTTGTTTGTGTCTATGTTGTTTATTTGTTGTTTTTTGTTTTGCATCCCATATATGAGTGAAATCACATGGCTCTGATCCTTTTCTGTCTTGTTTTGGTTAGCATGATACTTTCATTTATCATTCATGTGTTTGCAAAAGACAATGTTTCACCTCTTTTACCGCTTAGTATTCCATTATACATTAATATGTGCCATATCTTCTTTATCCAACCATCAGTCAAAGAACACTTAGGTTGTTTCTTTTTTCTTTCTTTCTTTTTTCCCCCCCCCCAGGTTTTCAACTGAGTTTAATAGGTTGCTTCTGTGTCTTGGCTATTGTGAATAATGTAAGCTGAAGCTTCTTGAACTAAGTGACTTGAAGTCATAGAGGTCTTGTGGGCCACCTGTTAAGTTCCTCTAGATTTTCAATTAGGAAGTGTCTATTAGTTAATCTACATATCTCCTTCAGAATCTCACAGGCAAAGAATTCACATCCTAGGTTTTGAGTTTACTCTAGAAAGTACCCTAGAGTTTAGAGTAGCAGTTCCCAGAGTATGGTCCTGGACCCTTATAAGCTCAGAAACTTTTGCAAGGAGTTTACAAAACTTTTCATGATAATACTAAGACATAGCCTTTGCCACTGTGCTGACATTGATACTGATGGCAGAAATGCTGGTGTGATGCCTTAGTACAAATCAAGGCAATGGGCCCAAATAATGCTAGCAGTGTTTGTATTCTTCACTGCCACCCACTGGCAGTTTTAAAAAAGCCAGTCATTTAAGAATGTTCTTCGTGAAACAGTAAAATTTGTTCATTTTATTAACTCTCAGTCCTGGAGTGCACAGCAGTGTTCCTTGTGGAAATGTGAGGCATAAAGCACTTCTGCTGGTACCAAAGTAAGCAGGTCATCTCAGTGCAAAGCATTTGTGTGCTTGTTTGAACTGTGGGCTGAACAAGCTGCTTTTTCATGGACTATAATTTTTATTTGAAGAACAAGTGAAAAACACTGATTTTTCAGACTGTAGTTAAAATGTAGCAGATATTTTCTCAAAAATGAAGTGAACCTGTCACTTTAAGGAAAACAACTATATTAGTTATCAATGATAAAATTTGAGCTTTCAAGTGAAAATTCGAGTTTTAGAAAATCACGAGCTTTTCACCTTCCCAATACTGAAGACCTTTCTGTTGAGAGCAGTGGTGATATATTGAGTATGGGTATTTTGATATTGTATAATATAATGAAACGTGTCAATATTCGGAAGACCTGTGTAATTCAAGGAGTCAATATTTGTAACGACATCACAAAGTCATGCATGGGTAAAAGACCCATTCAGAGTGCAAGGTATACCTGAGGGGGGGTGTGTGTGTGACCTTTGATGGCTTTGGCAAAGTATACAGTCATTGGACCATCATCATAGACATGAAAGAGACTTTCCATCCCTCCAGAAATGCGATTCCATTCATATGAAAGTCTAGAAAAGGCAAAACTGTGAGGACGGGAAAAGGGGACGGACTGTAAAGGGGACACGGGGAACCTTTTGTAGTGATAGGAATGTTCTGTGTCTTGATTGTGGGGATAGTGACATGGATATATAAATTTATCAAAATTCATCGAATTTTATATTTCTAATCAGTGGATTTTATTATATTTTATTTATACCTAATAAAGCTAATTTTTAAAGGCAAATAAAGGGAACCCTATTGTATGAATGGCAGCATTGTTTATATCATTAGGAAAGTGATTAACTGTTACAATAAAATATTGATTATCCCTGTGGGAAAAAATAAAATTGGGTCTTCATCTCACTTCTTTCACAAAAAACAATTCCAGGTAGATTAAGTGTCTCAACTTTTATAGAAAATATAGAGAATACCTTACTGATTTTGGAGTGGGCAGGGATTTCTTAAGAAGTCCAAACCATGATGGAAACTGATGGAATTGAATACTTCTCTATAACAAAAGACACCATAAACAAAGTGGAAAGACAAGCCACAGATACTAGTAACACATATAATCAACATTTTAAAATATACTTAAAAACTACAAATCTCTAAGACAAAGACAAAATCCTTAAATTCACACTGAAATATCATTTCATACCCAAAAGATTGGCAAAAATTAAAGTACGCTTGACAATATCAAAAATGGGTGAGACTGTGGGGCAGTGGGGATCCCTATATTTGGTTGCTAAGGATATAAACCGGACAATCATTTTGAAGAGCAGTTTGGTAATACCTGATAAAAATGAGGTTGTCCATACTTTTACAACACTGTTTTAGCCTGGGAATCACAAATTTATATCTTGTAAAGTCTGTATAATGGTTCACAGCAAGTATTTTTTAATGAAATATAGACTAAACAAAACATAAACTACCAACATGCATTGCATGTAGCACAGGTTGAGTATTGCGTCACAGACCTTTTTTCACTTTTATATGTTTGTATATATATTTGCTCACTGTATGCTAGGTAGAATGTATTTCATACTGTAGGTCTGGTAAAAAAAAAAAAAGGCAGGGGAGGGTGGCTGCCACAGAAGCTCATATTCATACATTGGAGCAAGTAGTGGAATTTTCTGACATGTACAGTAGCAAAATTTGGCAGGCAGCTAAAAGATCCATTAAGATAATGAATAAATTGTGGAATGTTTATGAATAAAATACTATTAAGGAGTAAAAATGAACAAAGTAGAGTATATGCCAAGACGGATTAATCACAAAAGCAATGTAAAAAAAATAGCGAGCACATATGTGGAGCATATCGTTTATCTAAAGTATAAAAACATGCAAACTTGACCCTGGCTGGGCAGCTCAGTTGTTTAGACCATCATCCTGATACCCAGGGTTACACGCTTAACCCTCAGTTAGGGTACATACAAGAAGCAACCAATGAATGTGTCAATAAGTGGAACAACAAATTTCTCTCTTTCTCTCTCTCTCTCTCAAACCAATAAATTTTTAAAAAATGTTTAATGCAAACTACATTGTTTACAGGCACATACATACGTAATCTTATATACACAGTAAAATTTGTGTGTGACCGATAAATACCAAATTTAAGGTAATAGTTGCTTGTAGAGCGGTAAAAAGCAATTAGGACTGGAGAGGGGCTTCCTTTTTATTTGTAATGTTTAACTAGATGGTGGGTACAGTTCATCATTCCTTATGCTTTTTTACATACTTGAAATACTTCAAATAAAAAGGGGTAAAGAGACAGTTATTTAAAAAAATAATTTAAAAATAATGAGAAGGGAGAAAATAGAAGCAGCAAGTGGAAGCACCAAGTTTGGCTATGAAGGAAAGCAGAGACATGGGATGTTAACTGGAGGGGCTACTATAAGTTAAAAAAAAAAGGAATTTTTTTCTTTTTTAAGATGGATAGGGTACTAGGGCATGATGGTGTGTTTCTGGGAAAGAACAGTGGGAAGGAGGAGATCAGTGATTTCAGCAGTGAAAGATGAACTAGAGCACAGGCCTAGACTATTGCCTACCTCTCTCAGCAGCCGGCCTGCCTTTCTTCTAGTGTGTTCTGTTTGATCTTTCTAAGACAAAGCTTTGCTTGTGTTCCTCTGTCCTGGAGGACTTGAATGATTCCCCATCACCTGTGTCACGGAGCTCCCTGGCATTGGAGACTCCTCTCCAGCCTGTCCTTGGCCTGCCTTTCCAGCCCTCACTTTGCTCGGCATGAACACTCCTCTTCCCTGGGCACACCCAAACCATTTTACAGGTGCTTGGTGCCCTGTTTGGAATGTGCCAGCCTTCACTTTGCTTGGAACATTCTTTTATCTTCATTTTATTTTTATCTTCATGTAATTTTTTTCAAATTTAACCAACCCACGTTGACCTAACTCTGAACTACTGCGATGTGAAATGTTTTTGTTGCACTTAGTACCTGTGTGCTGCCTTGTACTTTTATTCATTTTGTGACTCATCATTATTGTGTAATAGAGCATGGCTCTGAGAATCACAGATTTGAGTTTTTCTGTTTCAAATTTGTATGACAATAATGTTTGATTTGCTAATGGCAAACAATATAAACATATACATACAGGATGGGACAAAAGTAGGTTTGCAGTTGTGAGTATGCCAAACCGAATTTTATTCTTGTATTATTATTTATTATTGTATTGTTTACCGTACAAATAATTGTAAACCTACTTTTGCCACACCCTGTACAATAAAAAATAAAATTTTCCCCTCCATATTCACACTTTGTCCATTCACCTACCCTAAGATGGACAACTGAAAAGGATTAGTATATAGTTAATACATATTTTTCCAGGAAAATGCAAATCTAGAGAAAGAATCAGAAAAAAGATTTGTATTTTCTTAATTGAATTATAGGTAGATAGTTCAGTGGCCTGTTTTGTTTATTAAACAGTTTATTATAGGTCCTTCCACATTGATACATATAACCCTGCCACATTTTTTTTAATAGGATGGGACACAAAAATGTATTTAACTTTTCCATTATTGATGGATATTCAGATTATTTCCAGCTTTTCATTATTATGAACTATGCTGCAGTGGTCGTCCTTGTGCCTATATTCTTGTTCACATGTGTAAGACAGCTTCCTAACAGTGAGTTGGTTGGGTTAAAATTAATTTGGTTTTGGATCTTGAATTTTCCAGCTGGGTTACTTTAAACAAATTACTTAATCTCTCTTTGCTACCTCATCTGTAAAATGGAAATACAATAATTCAGAGTTTTAAGAACATTATATGACCTAAACCACACCAGCTGTCAGTCAGGAAGTTTTAGTTCCTTTCCTATAAGTTGTCTTTCCAATTAGAAGTTCAGCTTCATGAGGAGAGGAGTGCCTTAAAATCTACGCATAGATCATATTACTCTTACTTCACTGAGTGAGACTGAGAAAGTTATCCAATTGCCAGAATGTTTTCCTTAATCTACTTTTGTAACCCTCTAGGATCGCCAAGGATCCAAGATTTGAACGATTACCGTGCACACACAAAGGAACCTATGCAGATGACTGTTTAGTACAGAGAGTAACTCAGGTATTATTTACTTTGTGCTTTTAAAAAAGAAAAGGTAAACTATTGTCTCCTGAATGTTTATGGTCAGAAAAGTATCTAGGAATATAAACGGTAAAAAAATCTATATATGTAGAATCCCTTTATAAGAAACATAGGTATCCTCATTTACTTGAGAAAGTGATTGGGAAAATTATACTATAACTGTAATGGAAAGATCATGGGATTGGGGAGGAGATATGGGTTTCAAATATCTGCACCTGCATTTAGTAGGTGTGTGATTTGGGGCACTTACGGATTCCTGATTCCATAACTCTTCTCTATAAAATGGTTAAAGTGTGGACAACAATCATGCTGACCCTCGAACAATGCCAGGGTTAGGGGATCTGACCCCTGCAGAGTCAAAAATCTGTGTTATTGTATAACTTTTTATTCCTCCAAAACTTAAGTTGTCCCTTGGTACCCATGAGGGATTGCTTCCAGGACCCAGTGTGGATACCAAATTCTGGATGCTTGGGTCTCCTGTATAAAATAGTGTGGATCAATGCATACAGTCTGTTCTTTGCATCTGCAAACTCCCAACCACAGAACAAAAAAAGTACAGGTACTTATTGAAAAAATCCAGATATAAGTGGACCCAAGCAGTTGAAACCCATGTTGTTCAAGGGTCAACATACCAGGTTTCACCTCCCTATGAATCTAAAATACAATTCTGTTTCCATTTACTCCCCATGAAGGAATTTTCTTCTCTACCATGCTTAACCAGATGTATTTCTCAGTTACATCTAAGTCTCCCAGGGTGCTATCTCGCAAGGACCCTGGAATCAATGAGTTTTTTATTCCTTATCAAGCACCACAAGAGTATCTGCTCCTGATTGCCCTTATAAGAGCCTCTCTTTGCTGAGGGTAATCATCTTCATTGTGTAACCACATTGTCAGCCCTTTAGCTACTCCATCTCGTGGGCATGGCCAGCATTTCCTTTAATTTCCTACACCACAGCTGACGTCAGCCTGCAGCTCTTTATAAAACTCAACAGGAGATTTGGGTATGATGAAAGTAAAGTACAACACATTAGCTCCCAGCGGGCAGCTCCATGTTACTTCTTTCAGAGTTGCTAGGCTCAGACTTGTCCTGGACATCTTGTCCTGACTTCATGGCCAAGAAGGTAGGCTCCCCCCGCCACTGGAGGCCTGAGAGTAGGCCTGGCAAACCTGGGAAAGGCAAATGCTGTGCCCTCCAATCTAAGGCACTTACTGTGCCTTTGCCTAGAGTCCCTCTGGGCATTTTTGCAAAAGCAAGGAATTGTCTACTTTAGATGTGAAAGTCCCTTCCACTTACAAAGCAAAAAATGGTTTGCAGCTTTTAGCTTTTCTATCTTCTCCCCCTCAAGATTCTTAGAGCTACATTCAGTTTGGGTAACTTATTAATATGTTTCATAAAAATGAGTTCCTAGATCATAGTATCTACTCAACAAATTATTATAACCTTGCCTTTGCTACTTGTTACTATGCGGAAATGAATTCTTCAGATTGGCCAGTGGTTGTGCCATTATAGTATCACGAAGTAGACTCAATAAACTCTATGGGTGTCTCTTTTAGCACAAGTGTTACATTGTGGCAACAGTTGACCGGGACCTTAAACGAAGAATCAGGAAGATCCCTGGAGTTCCCATCATGTACATTTCTAATCATAGGTGAGAACTTCCTCTTGGGGAAGTACTTAAAAGTGTATAGTTGGTATAATTGAAAAGTGAAGTCAGGTTATAGAAGAATTTAAGAGATTTGTTGCATCAAATGTTTATATAGTTGTATTTGAAGAAACAAAACAAAAGAACAAGGGCAAAAGATAAAGCTAGGATTTAGGAATGAGGCAGGCATTCACATTGTTACAATGTGATTACCAGAAGAAATAGAGCAATGTGTTGCTTTAAACATAAAGCAGTAATTTAAATCAAGCTAATCTTTTTGGCCAAAAAATTTTATTTTGAAGGCCTAGTGCATGTGATTAGCACCCCTCTGGAAATTAAAAGCTTATTTAAAAAAAAAAAAAAAAAAGGCTACTCTTTGTCCTTCTTGGATGTCCCCATGTCAGTCTTCAAGCTGTTGCTGTCTAGCCTTTCAGCCTAGAAAGAACACATATAGAGGAATGATAAGAGCTCAGGGAGTTGGGCTTGCCTGGACCCAGAACCTGGCTTCCCCAGTTGACTTTTTGACTTTGAAGAATAAAGAAAATATATTATAGTCAGCATTCTGCTTTATATCACTCATTTTGATAGTCCTTTAAAATATTCCCACTGACAAAAAGGATTCAGAATGGGGTTGAGGGTAGTGCAGTCAGGAAAGGATGGCTTTTTAGGTGGGTACTGGACACACCTTTCTCACCAGTGTTAATTTTTTGTCCTGATCAGGTACAACATTGAGCGGATGCCAGATGATTATGGAGCCCCTCGGTTCTAATACTTAAAAGACAAACTTCCTCTACTTCAACCAACTTTCTCTGTTGCCAGCATCTTAAACCTGCTACAGAATGAGTTATTATTGCTCCACTCACCCACTTGCTCTGTTATGAGCTGAGTATAGTTAAATGCACTCACTTTTTGATGTTTTGAAAATGATATTTTGTATCATTTTAATATTTGTTACCTCTATAAATCAGATGACTGCTCACAGCTTTGATGGTTGTTATTTTATATTGATTTACTCAACAAATATTAAGGTTACACTAGGTACTTAATAAGATATGGTCCTGCCTTCAAGACACTCATATTACAGTGGGAAAGGGAAACATGTAGATGAATAAATACAATAAAATAATGGTGCTAGGATAAAAGTATGAGGGAACAGACTCCTAAGAGGAAAGAATTTCTTTCTACTTGGTTGGAACTGGGAGGAAGGAAAGGCTTGAGGTAGTAATGTTTGAATGAATCTTTAAAAATAAATAGGTGCTTGCCCAGTAAATGACGTAAAGAAAATGAGGCGCAGGACACGTTAACAAAAGCATGGACACAGATTCTTCATGGGATGAATGTCGTTTGCCTGATCAGACAACTGCCACAAGCTTTTATAACTAGAACATAGGGGGCAGTTGTCTGTACCCACATCAGAGACTTCAGGGGTATGAGGAGGGGGTGAAGGCAACTCACGTGACTTACTGAAGAGTTAGGATTTGATCTTGACCTCAAGATCAAGAGAGGTCAACAGGGAGTTATTAAAATTTTACCTAGGGCACATAACATGATCAGAATAGCTATTTTAAGTGATCACAAGGCATTGTAGGAATAGATGACTGAAACAACAAAAAGTCCATAAACCACTATATATTTTTGTCAATTTGGTGTATTTCAAAGGTATTTTAAGTCTAGAAAAATAAAATTGTATGAGAAGGCCAAATAGTGTGGAGTCATTCTACTGGGGTTAGAATCCTAATTTTGCCAATTAATATCTATATAGATCGGACAGATTACATAATCATTTGGTGCCTCCCTTGCTGCCTCTTAAAAATATTTTGAAAAAAAATGTTATTTCATCCTCAGAACAACCCCAATAAGATGGGATTAAATTGAACAAAAGAGAGTTATTCAATAAATGTTATTAGTTATGGTTATAATGGTAAGTTGGCTATCCATTTGAAAAAAACTTTAGATTCCTACTTTATATCCTTCATGAGAATATGTTTCAAGTGATCAAATAACTTTTTTAAGCTATGGGAGTATTAGGAAGAAACATGAAAAATATGTATAACCTTTGGATAGAATTCTCACATAAGATGAACATAAAAGTCAGAAAAATATTGAACCTTGCCAGGTAGCTCAGTTGGTTGGAACATCATCCTGATGCGCCAAGGTTGCAAGTTTGTTCCTGGTCGCGGCACATACAAGAATCAACCAGTGAGCCCTCACTGCTCAGCGGGTTGGACATCATCCTGCAAACCGAAAGGTTGCTGGTTTGATTCCTGGTCAGGGCGCACGCCTGCATTGCAGGCCACTTCCCCAGATGGGAGCATGTGGGAGGCAACCTTCTGATGTTTCTCACATCATTGTTTCTTTCCCTTGCTTCTTCCCTCCCTTCACCTCTCCCTAAAAATAAATATGTGAAACGTTTGAAAAAAAAAGTCAACTTATGAATGTATGAATGGGTGGACCACAAGACTGATATTTTTCTCTACCTCCACCTTTCCCTCTCTCTGAAATCAATAAAAGAATTTTTCAAAGAAAATAATGATACATGTAAATATATTAAAATTACAGATTTCTGTGCAAAGTGACTCCCCCAAATACTAACACAAGTGACTGGCCACAAGATTTCCCGGGGTATATATAGCAAGTGAGGAAATGGGTACTCATGTAGTGGTGATAAGAGTGCCAGCAGCTATAACCATATTAGACAGCAGTTAGGCAGGATCAATTAAAATAAAAATTGCGCATATCCTCTGAGCCCGCCTCTATTTTTTTATTATAAGTAATAAGTAATTTTGTAATATGTATGGTGCTAGGTGGGTACTAGATTTATTGTGGGTATCACTTCGTAAATTATATAAATGTCTAACCACTATGCTGTGCACCTGAAATTAATATACTATTGAATATCACCTGGAATTGAAAAATTAAAAATAAAGAGTACCGTGATGGTAGAGCCTTGTGATAGGAATTGATCACGAACTTCCTAATGCTGAGGGAGTGGCAGCTAGATCTACACTGGATCCTAAGGGCCATCCAGTTCCTGAAGCACATACCAGTCTTTGCAAGGCCTACACATGCAGCCCTTCTGGTAGTGCCAAGCGGGGTTCGTGAGTTCCCAGGAGGCCCAACTGTGTCTGAGATTCCTGTTTCAATATGTATCCTTAGAATACGTACAGGTTTCACTTAGGGTGTTTACAGGGCAAGTAGCAGAAACCTTAACTCAGTCTACTTTAAACAATAGATACTTCTCAAATAACAGGGATTTCAAAGATAGTGCCTCTTTCTGCACAGTAGAGTCAGGACAGAAGCTCTGTGTCCCCTACTTCAGAACTTGCTCTGTTGTCATCAAAGCCCCCAGTTGGCTGTAAACAGCAGGTGCAGCTAAATACTTCTTGTTCACAATCACTGGCGAGAAAGAGGGCCTCTTCCCCAACTGGGTAATGGAAATTCTCAGTATGACTGTGCCACCTTTGGGCAGATGCCAACCTTTGAATGACCAAAGAAACGTCATATGCTGACTAGGCTAAGACAGAATCTCTGAACCAATGAATGGCAAGAAAGATGATTATCACTGTGATCGACTTAATTAGGATCTGCTCTGGAAGCTGGATGGAGGTGATCAGCTTTTTCTGAATAATATGAGGTATGTAAGGGGCGATGTGGATACTTGAATAAAAGTGGTTATCTTATTAAGAAGAAAGAAGGAGCCCTGCCTGGGTGGCTCAGTTGGTTGGAGTGTTGCCCTGTACACCAAAAGGTTGAAGGTTTGATCCTCAGTAGGGGCATGCACGAGCAATGTTTCTCACATCAATGTTTCTTTCTCTCTCCCCCTCTTTTTCTCTCTCTAAAATCAGTAAGTACATTCTCCGGTGAGGATTTTTAAAAAAAGAAGGAAAGAAATGGATGTTCTGTAGGCAAACAATAGTGTTCGTCATACCTCAGTGTTTGAGAAAGAACTATGCAAGTTAGAGCTGTGTTTCAGAGCGTAGCAGAGTGTTTGAACAGTAGTTCTAAGTTTTCCTGAACTAACCCGCTGTAGTATTTCTCCATGCTGCTATAATTTTCCCATGTAGAAATAGATACTACTTTAAACATTCAAAACTATAATTTATGTTAATATTTAAATGCGTATTTAAATGTATACCTTTGAATGTATGAAATATGTATAATGTAAAAAAATTGCAAATATAGAGTATATTTAAGGTATAGAGCATATTACCAAAATGAACACCCTCGCATCTGTAACATAATTTAAAAAGAAAGAATATTAGCTATAACTTTAAAGCATTCTGTATAGAGTCATCCTCTTGATTACATTCCCTTCCTTGACTTCACCCCACCTCTGAGGTAACCAGTGTCTTGGAGTTTGGATCTGTCATCTACTTGACATTTATTATAATTTTACCCATTACTTGGATGCCTTCACAATATGTAATGTATATGTTTTTGAGTTGCCTATAAATAAGATCATGCTGAGTATAGTCTTATTGTGGTAAAATGTATATAACATAAAATTTGTCATTAACCTTTTCAAGTGCAGAGCTCATTGGCACTAAGTACGTATGCAGTATTGCGCAACCATCCCCGCCATCCAACTCCTACATTTCTTTTTTATTTTCCCAAATTGTAGCTCTGTACCCATTAAACAACAGCTGCTGATTATCCCCTTCTTCCAGCCCCTGTGAGTTGTGATTCTATTTTTTTTGTCTCCATGAATTTGACAGCTCTAGGTACTGCATATAAGTATACAGTATTTAGGGATTTTTTTTGTGACTGGCTTATTGCATTTAGCATAATGTTCAAGATTCATCCACATTGTAACAGGTATTAGAATTTCCTTCCTTTTAAGGCTAAATAACATTTCACTGTATGTATATACCCCATTTTGTTTTTCCATTATTTTGACAATGGACACTTGGGTTGCTTCCCTCTTTTGGCGGTTGTGAGTAACACTGCTGTGAATATGGATGTGTGCTTGCGATGCTTTTGGTTATATACCCACTGTATATAGTCATTCTCAACTTTCCTCTTTTTGCTGAGTTCTGATTGTGACATTCATTCATGTTAATATGTGTAGTTTTAGGTCACTCGCTTTAATTGCTGTTTGATATTTCATTGTGTGAATATTAAACAATTTGTTTTCCATTCTCCTATAAATGATCGTTTAAGTTGTTTCTAACTTTTGCTATCACGAACAGGGCTGCATTTTTTTTTACATGCCTCCTGTACACATATACAAAATATCTCTAGTCCAAGGTATATACTTATGTGTCATAAGGCATTGTGTATCTTCAGCTATAACAGATATTAACAAATAACTCTTTGGGTATACATTTGTACTCCGAACAACAGTGTATGAGAGTTTCTGCTGCTATATAGCCTCACTGCAACTTGGCAATGTCAGTGTGGCAGATACAGCCTCTTATCCCCAGCATCCACTCTCCCCTTTTTCCTTTTATGGTAGACCTTATGGGTTTCATCTCGATAGCACAGGTAGAAACTTTATTTCCCAACCTTCCTTGCAGCTAAGCATGGCCAACTAAGTTGTAACCAACAGGATGTTACTGAAAGTGATTTGTATCTCTTCTGGGTTATAACCTTAAAAGGCATGCTCCTTAAAAAATATACTCCCTAACTCATTCTTCCTGTCCACTGGCTAGATGCAGACTTGATGGCAGGAGCCAGAGCAGCCACCTTGAATCCAGAGATGAAGCCTTTATGTTGAAGATGACAGCTCTGGGCTGCTTACCTCTGAACTGTTCTATGAGTGAAAAATGAACGTTTATTTTGTTTAAGCCTCTGTACTTTTACTGTATCCTTGCTAGGGTGCTTAGACTGCATCCTACTTAATACATTTGTTGTTCAATTTTAAAGTCATTCCCCATGTACCCTTGCTCTGAAAGCCTGTATTTATTCTCTCAAGATCGTTTTGGTGATCTCGAGATTGTTTTGCATTCAACCTATATTGCTAGACTCCTGTTAATGCCCCTGTCTTTAAGCACATTCACTTGGAAATGGGAGCTCTTCCCCAAGGTAGTGGATCTTTTTTCCCAAAGATCCACTTCTTCCTAAGGGTACCTAGTCTCTTTTCTTGAAGTGTTACATTTTTTCCAATCGTATACAATTGTATTAGGATTTAGATCAGAGTGTTCAGCCTTTTCACTGTAGAAGCTGAGGGGAGCACTGAAGGCCCCTTCTAGATCCTTTCCCCTCACCACTCCATACATCTGAGAAGGCACTGGCTGATTAAAGGAGGAGGGAAAAAGAAAATCGAACCTTGTTTCTTACAGCACGCAGAGTTTTGATTGTAGAATAGCTCCTGACTTGTTTTTTTTTTCCCACTCTCAGACCTAATTTTATGACTTTCTTACCTATTTTGTGACTTCCACAATATCTTTCCAATACATTTCTTTTTTAGTTTTAGTAATTGCTATGAATAATTTCCAAAGAGCTATAATGGATACAACCACCCTCAAGCTCCAGGCTCTCCTAAATTGTGCAGATCCATTGTGAGTGGCTGGAAGGACTGACCACATGCTATTGAACCTATGGATTTCTTTAGGATAAAACGAGAACACGACTCTGTCAACATAAGAATATTTAAACTTGGAGATAATTTTTGTAAGAGCTTATTAAGGAAGGAGCATAAGGAAGACTACATGAATTACAAGATTACATGGGAGGAAGCAAGGGAAACCTCAATGATTGGATTTCAGCTGTGGTTTTCCACTGGCACACCACGGCACGTGGGTGTACACAAGAA